TCAACTTATTAAAAAAATCCAAGTTTTCATCAATGTCTTTGGTTAGGTCTAACCTAAACCGAAAGAACTTTTCAAGCAAAAACAGTTTACCAGGCAGAGAGGTGTCAGTATAAAGATCATCTAACTTATCCCACAACTTTTTAGCAGAGTCTAAAATACCAACCTTTCTAAGCACAGAGTCAGATAGGTTAAGATAAATAGTAGAGCAGGCAGTTTCATTCATTTCAGCTTTCTTAACACTATCATCAGGATCCAAATAAAGTTCACTTACAGCTCTGAAAACCTTTTGCTGGATTAAAACACATTTGATCTTTTGTTTCCAAATGTGAAAATCAGTTTTCCCATTAAAAGGTAGCATACCATACATATTGGCAGACATAGCAACAGACACCAGAAGATGAGTAGCAGAAAACAAGGTCAATGAAAAAACAGCACACAGAGAGACAGAGAACCAAGGAGCTAGGGTTCACCAGTGTACCCGGCTGCGGGCTGATAGGCCATGCAGATCCGAAGGCCACTTGAGTGACTGGCAGGGAACCTGTCAGTCCTAACCTCAGGTGTCGAGTCACACAGGTTAAAAAAAACCAGTTCACAAGGGTAACAAGCAAGCACAAAGGATAGTAAAGGTGAGATAAACACACAAGGGAGACAGATTACAAGTTCAAAACCTCAAGCCCGCATACACAAAACTAGTACGAATCACAGATCTAAACATGTAAAGACAGAAAACACACATGCAGACCAAACTTCACACACAAAGCTAAAGCGTACGCACCTGGGAGTAGTCAGTTACAACTGACAGCCAGACCAACTAGGTCAGCAGCAAAAGCAAAGCGGGGAAGGGGATGAAGCGAGTAAAAACACCCAAAAATCACACAATACCGGAGGCACTCGGCTGCCTAGGGTGTTTATCTCCAATTTACCTGAGCGAGAACCCGTGGATGGGCTTCTCGATGTACCACTCAAAGGAGATCTGCGGCGGATAGTGGCGAAGGAGCTCTCGGGCTGTAACGAGGACGATAGGAGGTCCGGCTCTGATACCACTGTCAGGTTTTCACCTCTCTAGCTCAGACCACGCTTATACAGCACACAACCAAGCACCACCGGAAGGGACAATCACACTCAGCCCAGCCCAGCCATCTCAACGCACGCCAAAGGTCAGAAAAGGGGAAGCACAGAGAGAATAACACAAAGGGATCAGAAGAAGAAGACACTGGGAGTCTCTCTCTATCTCTCTAACCTCACTCTCTCTCTAACCGAAGACCTAAACGTCAAGGAGAAGATGAAGAGGGCCTGAATACCGAGGATCACATGGAACCCTAATAGAGGGTTCCAGAAGAAGGCTAACGAGAAAACAACATGGGCCGGAACAAGAGGCAAGCGAACAGGCCCACACGAAGAGAGAAGGGATGCAAAGGCCTTATGGGCCAATACCTACACAAAACCCTAGGATGAAAATCGCCTAGCTCTACTGCCACTTTCTAACCAAAAAGATCAAACTGCCAAACACTAGTGGAAAGATCCACCGCCGGAAAAACAAAACCTTAGAAAGCTAGGGATCAGCCGCATAGGAGTGATTATGACTCGTCAGTTGCATATTCAAATTTTAATGTTAGTTGCATTTTAATATTAGTCACATTTTAATATTACTTGCATTTTAATAACACTCACATTTAAATATTAGTTGCATTTTAACATTAGTCACATTTTAATTTTTGTTACATTTTAATACTCCCTCCGGTCCCAAATGAAATTCACACTTTCCTTTTTGGGTAGGTCCAAAATAAACTTCACACTTCTTCTCTCTTCCTTATTTGGCAAATTATCTACATCAAAACAGTGCAAAACAGTGCAAAACAGTGTCAAACAATGTCACAACAGTGTACTCTACAGTAAAGTCAAATTTATTTCCTTAATTTGTGTGAAATCAAAGTGTGAATTTCATTTGGGACCGGAGGGAGTAGTTGTTACATCTTAACACCGTGGAGAGGGGCAAGAAATCTCTTGATATGGGTAATCTCCAACGCACCCATGCAAAGGAGATTGCGAGAGGTCATCCTTCTTCACGGTCTAAAGGTAAACAACACGTTGGGGCAACATCTTTGCCTCAAAACCGTGATGATGGGGGGGGGGACTTATGACCATAGAGATTGCATGAGCGACGAACAACCCGCGCAACTCTTGTCGCAAAACCAAGGGAGATTTTTGCAACAAGAAAACCTTCCCGAGATTTACGAAAGGATGGAGGAGGAGGAGCCGCTGGCGGATGAGAAGGAACAAGTCGGTGGCGATACCCCTGACGAGAAGGAAGGAGGCAGCACTGGTCCATCCCAACCACCCAAACAACAAAAGAATTCTAAACTCAAATATCTTATTTTTGTAGATCATTTTGATAAGGCTATGAATCTGCAGGACAACAAGTGATATGCAACTTGCAAACATTGTTCACAAGTATTGTGCAGGGGGCTACGACACCGTCCAAAGGCACTTGAACTCGAGACACCCTGTGGAAGCGGCGAAATTGAAGGGGTAAGAGCATGAAAACACAAATATCAAAGTTTACAAATGATCAACCTTTGGTAATTTCATTTATAATGATGAGCAACATTTGAAAGCTATGTCTGAATTAATATGTAAAGAAAAGTTGCCTTTTATTTTTTCTGAAGTCTTGCTTTGCGTCCTTATGATCAAGGTCCTTTAAATCCACAATTTCGAAATTATAGCCGCAAAACAATTAAAAAACAAGTCAATAAACAATATACTTTGGAAAAGGAAAAATTAATTATTAAAAGTTTGCGAATTTTAATGGGTGTGACTGTTTGAAGTGCTAAATGGAAATATACATATCATCACTTGTATTATATAGGTGTGAGATTGTACATTGGAGTGATGATGATTGGCAAATGCATATGATTTTAATGAAAGACACACCGGTGATAATAATATTTATATTGAATATAATTTGCTTCAGAAGGTGTTTGGTATATGTTTTGATAATGATACTAATAATACTGCTGGTGTACCTAGATTGTGTGAAGTGTGTGGCCTACTTTGATGGGTAGATTTTATCATCAACGTTGTGCATGTCATGTTATTAATTTATGTGCGAAAGACAACTTAGCCGCATTAGGAAATGTACGTGATAGAGAAAGCTAAGGGGGCTATTAAAACGGTTTGGGGATAATACTCAACTTAAAATGCAATGACGTGCTTATTTGAAACTAAATGTGTTAAGAAGTATTGTGATATCTCTAAAGATCTGTCTATTCGTTGGAATGATACTTATAATTTAATTGTTGTATATCTGAGATTTAAGAACCATTTTCCTGCTTTTATGAAAGAAACTTGTAATTATATTATAGAACCGGTTGAGATCGACACCATGCAGAAAATTTCCAACGTTTTAGTTTATTTTCATAACGCTACTCAATCTTTTTCTCATGTTTATACACCTACTAGTGACCTACTTTTTATAGAAGTTGTTAATCTCGTCGGTGCTTTCAAAGAAATTTCTGAAATCATTTATGTTTCATATTTTTATGATTTCATGAAGGAAAAGTTTTTGAAATATTATGTCTATATATGTTATTGGTGCATGTCTTTGATTCTCGTTTCAAACTTGCTACTTATAAAACACATTTATAGTACTATTATACTGCTTTCTATGGTGACTTCTCTATGTACGACGACACCCTATAGACCCTCAAGCAAGGGCGGACCCAGGGCACTGGCCCGGACTGGTCCTGTACAAAGAATATTTTTGGGAAAAAAATTACACGAGATTTTTTACACTAAAAATATAGACATTTTAAATTTGGGTTGGGCCAGAGCCAGGGTTGCCCTCCCCTAGCTACGCCCCTTCCCTCAAGCCCAACTGAACGAGATTAGTAATCTATTTCATAATTTGTATAATGAACTTCATGCAGAAAATGGTAATGTACTCCCTCCCTCGAAACTGATCACTTCTTCATCTAATGGAAAAAGCCTTTTTAAATCTACAATATCTAATCTTTTGAAGAAGAAAAAAGTAAATGTACGTCTACCGTTGCACAAAGCTCGATTAACGAGCTAGCTTTATTCATATTTAACATTTCCTATTGAGTATGATGAAGGATGGGAGTTTGACATTCTCCAATGTTGGAAGAGCCGCGAATGGATGATCTCTATTTTATCAAAAATGACGAAACAAGTGTTGTCAATGCTGGTTTCAACAGTTGTCGTGGAACAAGAGTTTAGCGAAGCCGGCAACGTCTTGATTGATTATAGAACGAGATTGAGCGCGTAATCTTTTCAGACGCTCATTTGCTTCCACGATTGGTTGAAGGACCGCCCCTTCCGGCGCTTAACCAATTACGAAAATAAACGAGCGTTTGAAGTAAGCTTACGCTCAAATGAGTCTTATAGTCAACGAGAATATTGTCGACACCACTGAATTCTCATTCTACCACAACAGTCGATATGGACACGTATATATAGCACTTGTTTTCCCATTATTAATAATGTCGGAAACAATGTTTGTTTATCTTTCTTTCATTGTAGTACATCAACTCCACACCTTCTTCACACTCGCAAAGAAATATTAGGTACAAAGAAAGCTTGTCAATTGAGATATGTGCAATAGTCGGTGTGAATTTAGTTTTTCCGAAAGACTTTGTATTATTATTATTTTTTTTTTATCCCGGAAGGCAAACCACCAAAATCAGTGGGGCATATGCCGGTAGACATATGCCATAATTTTATTAAATAAGCAGATAGTACATAAGGAAGAGGACTAGGCCAAAACTTCCTTCAATAAATTGCAACAACATACAATAAATGAGACCGATAAAAAAGATGAAAATACAATGATGAAAAATTAATGACGAAAATAAAAAAGCCCATACTTATCAGCACATAAAGCCTTTTTAATATTACTATGCAATTCATTAATGGAAAAATAAGCCTGGAGTGAGCTGGCATCAGGATTATTATTATTATTATTATTATTATTATTATTATTATTATTATGGAAAGGCATTTTATTAGGATAAGAAAGGTTGAAGATTACAAATAACAAGTAGGGAGCCTAGCAACAAGTTGAGCTCCAACACCTTTTTATATGGCTAAACTTATCCTAATAAAAAGAAAATTGCCAACTTTTAAAGTAGAGTCATGTCTAGCAATATGGCTCTTAACACGTTTAAGAAACAAAATAGATTCCGGTCCAAGTTCCCCCAACGTAGTGAAGCCTAAAGTACCAAAGTTGTGACCACTGGCTTTACAAATATCAGCACACTTATGTTGCTTCCTCTCAATGGCTCTAGCTAAAGCTAACCCAGGTTTAAAGTGCTCAAGATCAACAACTCCTGCAAAAGTGGAAACAATAGTAACATCCAAGCAAGTATCAACACCCTTATCCCATCCATAGAGGAGAACATCAGCAAGTTTTGCACCACCACCTTGCTGTGTAAGAAACCCAAGAGGAGCCTCAATTCCGTGAGCTATACCAGCACGAAAAACAAATGTCAACCACTGTGTCACGAACCAAGTTGTGTCTAAAGTTTGGACCAATCAGGCTGGAGCAACGAAGAGCATGGTCCCCCCAGGTATCCATACTACCAAGACAACAAGAACAAGTAGCGCCATCTTGAAAAAGAGGAATGTCAAGCCTATATGCAAGAATTACAGTAAACTGTCTAGGACTAATAGTTTGTCCTAAACCTTCAGCCGGAATAGCAAGAAGTAAGTCCATAGCATGCTTCACTTTGTTACTTCTCCAAATAGCCAAGTCTCTACAACTCATGTTATACTTGGAAGGAGTTTTTTTCCACTTTTAATCCTCCGACTATTATGTCATTGACACTTTTGGTACTTGACTTTGATTTTTTCCATTTTTAGTCCTTGACTATTGCGCTAGAGACACTTTCGGTACCCGTCTTTGAAAATTTCCATATTTAGTTCTTCAACTTTCATAAATGTGACACTTTTGGTCCTTCAACTATTATAATAGTGACATTTTTAGTCCTCCACCTATTGTGTCAAAATCATAATGAGAGGACTAAAAGTGTCGATTTGACAATACTCAGGGACCAAATGTGGGAAATCTTGAAGTCAGGGATTAAAAGTGTCTCTAGCACAATAGTCGAGGACTAAAAATGGAAAAATCAGAAGTCGAGTACCAAAAGTGTCATTGACATAATAGTCGGGGGACCAAAAATGGAAAAAACTCTACTTGGAAGCCATACTTTTAACTACACAAGTAAAATATTGTAAAGCCAGTGTTTTCATAGAATGTGGGGCAATGACAGTGTTATCTTGAGTAGAAGGAAGACCACAAGCATGATTAAAGTTGATCTTAGCTTGCTGCAGAGGTGGAAAACATTTAGAAATTGAAGTATGACTAATAGTAATAATAATAATAATAATAATAATAATAATAATAATAATAATAATTTATTAGTATTATTATTTGGATAAAATGTAAATATATATATACTCAGAAAATAACATATACAATGCATCAAAATGTATCCAAAAGGAACTATCTAAGCTAGCATGGTAACCTAAAATAGTATCTACTATATCCACCTACCCCCATCTTGCAGCAGTGGTAAGGAGAGAGAAATTTTAGAAGTCAAAACTAGCATAGGACAGGCTCCGGCTTAGTGTAAAGTGAAACAAAAAGTCCAAATAAATCAAAGTAGGCTGCCCACCAACTGCAATGTTCCATGGAGTTTAAGCCAATTAAGGCCCAGCCTCCATTTCCCACAACTCCTGTGGCCCAGTAGCTTGCAAGCAAGCATCCAAATCCCATCAAAAGTGTCATGGACTTTGTATTATGCTTTTAAAAAGTCAAGTTCCCTTAGGCCTTGTTTGGTTTGGAGATTTCAGAGGTAAAGGGAGGGACGAATTGATTTTTCATTTTACTAGTTTATCTGAATTTGTTGGTTTTAGACTATGAAAAACTATATAATTAGTTAGACCATGCATTTTTATATACTATTTTATGTTGGGCCGGTGCTATTTCTTGCAGTTGGGCCGGAAATATCTCCTTCGGTTGGGCTGACAAATAAGACAAATGTAGAAGGCTATCTAAGTCCAAGTAGGATAACAAACAGTTGCACGTGGAGGATAAAACGGAAGTAGGCGCAATTATGGATGGACTCGGGTCCGGGCCGAGTCCGGGCCGGGTCCGGGTCAGGCCTAGGCCCGGGCGGGCCGGCGGGTCAGAAATGGTGGACCCGGGACCGGCCCGGGTCCGGTCCGGGCCGGGCCCATTATATTTTTTTTTTGTTTTCCTCTTCCTAATTAACCCCCCTCTCATCCCCAACCCCCCAAACCACCCCAAATGGCCCTACCTAGCCCAACCCGAAAAGTTAAAAAAATTGAAAAAAAAAATAGTTTTTGGCCCGAACCGGGCCCGGGCCCGGCCGGATCGGGCCTTGTTTTGGGTGACCCGAGCCCGGACCGGAAAACCCACGGGCCGAGCCTACCCGGACCGGTCACTGACCGGGCCACCGGGTCGGGCCGGGCCGGAACAGTACCGGTCCCGGGCCGGTTCCGGGTCGGGCCACCCGGCCCGAGTCCATCCCTAGGCGCAATACTTGGGGAAGGAGTAATACTTTAGTCAATAAATAGAATTGATAATTATCCTAGTAGGGCACGATCACTTTGATCAACTTTGTTCACCATACTCAATATTCTGTAGCCAAGCTCTTGATTGTATTCGAATTGTTCCACAATATTCAATTTATATATTTCACTCTTAATCGGTCTATTATCAATTCATATTTGTTCGATTCCCGTTTTAATTCAGATTAGTTTATTTTTAGCATAAAGATTTTATGTTCATTTTATTTCAATTCTTTAAAATGTAAAAATTAATTTAAATTTATATATGACCCCAACTAAACTAGCCCTTAGACGAAAAAGGCATTTGTTTAGGAAGGAGAGGACATTTTCATACCGTGCATGAAATCCATTAAATATTTTATGGAATAAATGTCTTACATCGAAATATTATGTTTGCACAACATCAATGGGATGGTCTTCTTACGAAGGCAAAATACCACTTAAGAAGCAACTATAATAATGCTCTAAAAATGTTTCAATAGAGGAAATATGTGAATATTATTTTGAAAACATAACTTAATTTGGCCACAAAAAAAATGCACGTACTGAGCGCTTTCAAATTCTTTAACCATGCCAACAAGATTAACAGTTTCTATCGTAAACGCATTAATACGGGTACCGAACCCTTCTTGGCTGTCAACTTCTATCGAAAGTTGACTTCTTTAGCAGCAAAATTCATATTGAACCAAACATATTTTTGTTGGGGTAAAAAAGCACTAAATCCTTAGTACGATTATCAATAAGAACATTAGGGCCCGTTTACTTATTTCACTAGTTTTTTATTTTCATTTTCCAAATCTTTGTTTTCTAAATTTCCTTTGTTTTTCATTTCACTTTTACAAAGCATAAAGTAAGTATATACATTGACGAATTGAAACTTTATAGAACCAAAGGTGAAAAAATGACAAATATTATCTGACATCTTTAAAATTAATGTGTGTATAATGCAAAATAAAATACTCGTAATTGAAACATTTGAAATAAGACAAAAAAATACATAAATGATAATTCACAAACAAGACTTAATAAGAGACATTTTTTAACAAGAGGCTACATTGTCTTGAAAATAAATACATAACACCAATAATACTTTAACGTCTCAAACTTTAGAATCATGTCAAATTGCATCCGCAACAATTTATCGAATGTCATGCATTCGTTATTGTTCAGATATAGAAATTGGATAGTTAGTGTACCAAACGAATAGTTTTTAGGTTAAATAATATGAGTATATTTTTTGTTGTAGTTAAAGCTACAACCACATAAAAAGTGTTACTTTTTCAAAATTTTATATATTTTTATTTTACGCTCATGTTCAATTCGGGTAACTTTTTTAAAGTCACATGTTTTTTCATAATGTATAGATCAGAGTTAGTATTAGAAACTTATTTATTTTGGGATGAAATTACAATATCAAAAACTAAGTTATAAAACACTAAAAAGTATATGAAGAATTGCGGACGGCTCACACCTAGGTTTCTCTAGGTTTGCGAAGGTTTTTTGGGTCGGCGATTCCATTCGTTCGACAAGCAGGACTGATCGGGGAGTGTTTGGACGGGTCGCACAGCAGAATTCAGACGGCTTAGAGCAGAGTGCAGATCGACAAAGCAAAGTGAAAGGACAGAAGGTACAAAGTGAAAGGACAGAAGGTGGAGGACAACCTTGACCAAAATGAAGTTGGATGGCTGGTAGAGACATATGGGAGAATGGAGAGGAACGATGAGGACGAAGTTTTCCTGACAGAGGTTACAACATCAAGAGCTGCGGATGGGATCCAAGCGATGAAGGATGAAGATGAAGTAATGATGATCCGCCCCCCTCCTGAACTGCCACCATGGAGGATTTATGAGACTGGGGTTCCCACCGCCGCCATGGGTCATCTGATTCATCAGTTTATCTTTTTTTATTTCATTTTATTCGGCTTTAGTTTTTTAATAAGGAACTTTGTTATTATCATTTTATTTTTTGGTAAAGTTCATGATACTAGGTTTATTACGATGACTGAGGTTTTAGCAAGATTTGATATAGTTAGTGAGGGCCGAGGGGTGGTTCTATTTGTTCAGTAATAGTTGCATTAAGCCCATCTGGTGGTTAGTAATTCGTATTGCACCTTTAGGGGTGATAGTCTCTATGTCCAATCTTAAGACTATTAGCAGTAGTTGGAAGGTGAAAATTGTAGTCAATATTGGTCACTTTGATATCAATGTAACAATTCTGATTCTAATGATATCAATATAGGGGATATCCTCTTCAAAAAAAACACTAAAAACATATATATTATTAAACATACACTGTTGCACAGATCTTGAAAAAATATATACATTAAAAAAAGTTACCCTGATCAAATATATACATTGTAGCGCTATGTATTTCCATTTTGGAAAACTAAAAAAAGTGATTCTCCAACTTCAGAAAAAAATCAGAAACGTTTTTGTTTTTATAGAAAAACAGAAAATGTTTCTATGAGTAAAAGGACCCTTAAATTCTTCGGCCACTACTGCCACCATTTAAGATCTTTATCTCCCTTTAAAATGGCTCCTCTTGCAGTTCAGGGAGATCAATAAAATGGCTAGTAGATTAATGAAATGGCTCGTTAAAAGGGAGATAAGTTTTCACATTAAGCGTGAATTAAGTATACATAGGACTAAAACAAGCACTTACCAAACGGTCACATAATAACGAAATATTCCAGACAACTTATTTAGCCACGCATAAGAATGTCACTAACTCACTATAATGTAAAAAATGCAACCTAGAATTAAATAATTAATTACTCGAATAAATGCAAAACCAACCAGCATCATGTATGTGTTGTGTGTTTTTTCCTTTCAGAATTTGCATATTCCCTTTCGTTATTACTTGTTGCAATGAAAAACAAAGAAACCCAAAGCTTGAATAGAACCTCATTTCTTTACTAGTTTCAGAACATCACTCACAAAGTATAAAGAGCCAGTTACAAGGACCTGCAGAAAACATATTGCTCGATTTATTTGCAATTCAGATGCATAATCTTAACGGATTCCATTCTCACAGCTCAACAAGAAGAAAATAATTTCAGGATGATGGAACCTGTTTTTTTTTTGGAAGAGATGATGGGACCTGTTTGGGAAGGGTTATTTGAGAGGATTGGCTCAATCTACTTAATTTTTCAAAAGATATAACTTTTGTCACTACAGGTATTATTTAAGCAAAGCAAGGTGGCCATTTGGTAGCCCCATTTTTTCAGCTTACCACACTGTGTACCAAATGCATATTTCCTCAACTAGGCACGATGAATTGATAAATAATGATAAGATCATACCTGAAAGTGGACCGACTTGTTTTTACGAACATTATCCCTGAGCCAATTAATTGCAACCGGAAGTGACGGAAACACGATGCTGTTTTCACAACATCTGATTCCTTTCTCTGTATCAACCCTTTCACATATTTGATCCACCTTTTTCACCATCTCTTTACCTGTAAGTAGATCGCCATATTCTATAGTGAAGCTGTGAAGTTAGTTAGTACCCATGGTCCACCAACATACACCATGAAATTTTCTATGGAAACGGAGTATATATGGTGCTAAAGTTGACGATTTGGCCACTCTCTCAGCTGAATCCGGAAATGTTGGAAACACTAAATTTTTATCAACCACCTTAATGTACTCTCTCCGTCCCGCTAAGATTGTCCCATTTTACCTTTTTGGGAAATCCCACTAAGATTGTCTCATACCATATTTTGTAAAGTTTGTGTGGCTCTTGATCATTCTTACTTTATCAATTCAATATCAACCACATAAATCCACTTTTCTTAATAACCGTGCCACCTTCTTACGTCCCAATGTTAGTGGGACGGAGGTAGTGTTAAATTATATATTTCATTAGAAATAATCCAGTCATTTAAACCATTTCATTTATTAAACGAATAAACTAATTCGAGGAAGTTTTCATATCCTTCATTTACATAGTAGAGTTTTTAAATTTTAATTAGTCAAAGAGATGATGCGAAAAAAACATAAATAGTTAAATACAATTACTTAAATATTCAATGATGTATATACCTTTCTCTGAAACTAAGTTTTCCCAGAATTTTTGAAGAGTTAACTGCCAAGAAATATCAATCTGATTATCAGCAGGGTCCAAGGAACTGGTGCCGACATTGTAAGTGAATGATGGCTCGTTTGGAACAAACAATGCCTTCTTAAAGTAAACTCCTGAAAAAATAAATCCCTAAATGATCCTATTGAAGTTGGCTCCAAATGAAATGCTAACATTCCAACCCTTTTACATGGTATAGTAGCAAACAATTACAAATGAACCCAATTATGTTGACTATCAGACAATGCTTGTTAGACACTCAAACCCACTGCACATTGGAGCCGTGGAGCTTATAAGGATATTATAAAGCATTAGCTCTGCCAATGAATGTAAGATTTCAAGGCTAGAAAAGAGGCAACCTCCGTTTTTTGGAGAAAGTCAAATAACGTTTACACTTGGAAATTTAAATAATAATTAGAAAAAAGTTAAACACCTACCTCTAAAAGTATCAAGAAAGCTTAAGATCCCATTTGGTAAGATTTATTGGCAAATTGGCTGGATCTCTAAGTCTCGTGAAATTTCAGTTAAGAAAAGTGTTAGGTAAAATCCTATGCAACCAAATAAGTCAATGGTGTACTTATTCTGATAATCTGATGATGATCAGAATATGTGAATGAGTCGATTAATGCTAACTAGTGAGGCCTAAGTTTAAAATGAAGAACTACGTTAAAGTGTTCACCATGCATTGCACAAGCACTCCTCAGACGGGGAAGGAGCAGCTGAGGATCCCTCACTGACATGCAATTAAACAGCAGAATCTGCACTTATCGGAAATTTCAGTTTGGCAGCATATAGAAACACGTGAGACAGTTGACAAAAGAAACAGCAGTTGATTATATCAAACTTATTAAAGTAGAAGAATGAAGGCATCTCAAGTTGTACTTGTTGGAATGACAATAATAAAAAATCATCATTGGTTGAATTCAGAGAACAAGATGCATGCATGTATATAAGCGTACTATATACTCTTTTAATTAGATACTCAGTATTATATACCTGAACAACAATGGTAAAACCTTTTAGGCCTTGTGCATTAATTATCTATGAACAAGCAGCATACCTGTGTAGAATTTTTCTTTGACTTCTGGAAATGGTCCATCTCTGCTGGTTCATGTGAAGGTCTGGTCTCATGTGCCTCAGTTTCACAAGAACTGTGTTGCCTCTGCTCATCCTTAATGGCAAGAGAAAACCATTTACCACAGACATCCATGCTTTCAGGACTATGAGCACCATCCAAGTAGAAAACAAGATCTCCTTCACATTCACTTTCTGTAAACTTATCAGGTTCAATTTGAGCCCTTCCTTGTAACGTAGCATTTGCCAAGCCTTTCTGAAATTGCTCAGGCAGAGATGCCTATGTCCATACAAGAAGCTCAAATATAAATTATATTATTACTACCTACATCCCATATTAAACTTCGTTTTACAGTTTACGATGTTGCTAGTTATTACTCCCTCCGTCCCAATATAATTGTCTCATTTCTCCTTTTCTGTTTGTCGCACTAAAATTGTCGCATACCATATTTGGTAATATTTGAGTGGCTCAAATCGATTCTTACTTTATTCTCACTTTATCAACTCACTATCAACCACATAATTCCACTTTTCTTAAAAATCACACCACTCCCTTCCGTCCCAATATTAGAGGAACGGAGGTAGTACAATTTACATAATTTTGAAACTATACTAAAAGTTCTAGTGAATTATGAATTGGAAAAACTGAAACTGAATAGCACAAATTTTGGAACACAAATTTAGAGATAAAAAGATGCATCCATAGTAATTATAAAGTTTAGTTTGGGACAGAGGGAGTATTATCTTTTAAAACAAGAAAGCCCAGGAAAAATGGATAAGCAATATAAGCAATAATAACAACAACAACACCAATATAAGCAAGATAGCACAAAGAAAGAGGGAATATCTTTTGTCAATTCACTCAATTGTAACTCACTGTCCCTTTTACGTAATGAACTTCAGCATGGCCACTTCTCTGAAGCCAAGTAGCGCTTAGTGCCACAGCTAGACCAGCATTTGTATATTGGTGTTCACCCTTAAGACCAAGATGAACGCTGCTCTGTAAACTGGAATCCAATGGGGCTGCCACTTCAAGAATTACCTGTATATAGGGAAGTCAATATTTTTACATTAGTTCAAGTAAAAGTTGATCAGAAATTAAAACGAGGATTACATCAAGCTCTTACATGAAAAACAATAATTTGCCATCAGAGACATTGACTTTGTGATATTAGGCCTTGGTTACTTCATAGACCGGGTGGGATATACTAACTATTCATCCCTTGTCAAGCGGGAAGGCACCGTTATAAAAGTTGAAGCTCTAGTCAAATCCGCATTTGTTGCAGGATATATTATCATCATCCTATGAGGTGTTGGGTTTGAATTAATTCCACTAATAATCAGTTTCTTTATCCATTATCTTTTATCCATCCTAAAAAGTGAACAAGCCATAACTGCATAAACAAATCTAAACTTACATCTAATTCAGAAGCCTTTTCTTTCAGCACACACATAGCTTCATCAGGTTGGGACACAGTAAAAGCAGGAACTCCAAGCTGCATTAGAAAACAAACACATTAGGTGCACAATGAAATAAAAAAAATAAAGTAGAAAGAAATAAAACTGAAGACAAAAGATACAATTGGTAGAAAACAGGAAAGAATGAGGATTTATGACTTCAAAGAAACCTTGAAGATTCCAGCTTTTTCTCCAGCAATTTGCCCAAGAGTATTTCCTGCTCAATGTTAGTTTAGAAAAAGGATAATAAGAGAGAGGCTATCACAAATTTTAGAGTATGATATTTGCAACCAGCCTTTTGACCATGAACCTAGAAAAGAAATACTTGGTAAAGTTTTAGTTCCAGTGGTTGCACTTGCAACTTAGGGCAAGGACCAACCAAGGTTATGTAATGAGAATGTTGAAAGTGGATACCCACGAAAAGAATAAAAAATGTATTCAACTCCAATAATCTAATATGTAATACTCCCTCCATCCCACTATCTTTGGCCCAAACTGCCATCTTTCTTTTTTAGTCGTCCAAATGAGTTTGTCCCATACTATATTTGGTTATATTTGTTTGAATCAAACTCAATCATACTTTACAAATTTAATATCAACCACACCATTCCATTTTCTTTAATATGAGTGTTACTTCCTCATTCCCCAAAGATAGTGGGATGTATGATTCTATATTTGTAAAAAATAGTATATTTTATGCTGAAGAAGTTGGAATGTTATAGCACATCCATGTACAGTATTTGTTAACTCAAATGATTGGTTTTCAGTGCATTTAAAGTATCAAAATGTCCACCTTGGAAATCTATAATCAACAATTGAGAACCAAAAGATAAGCATAAATTACAATCTTAGTGCCTGCAGACTTTGCAGGAGCTTCATAAGCTTCACAGTTCCTTTAGATTTTATGTAAATACTACAAAAGTCCAGTTACTAAATAAGTTATAGATTTGATTAAACTATTAATGAGAAATGCTGTAATTGCCAACAGCACAAATAGAATAGCCATATAGAAGTGCTAAAATGCAACCATAAACAAGTTCCTCCGACAACTGTGATTTCAATTTCCAAAAATGATTCCTATCGGGGAATGGAATTACCAGCTCTTGGGTAAACTTGGGCAGATAACTGTGTCCTGGCTCAGCTTACATAAAAGAGGGTACCAAGAGCACGAAAAAAGAAAACAGATAAAAGACACTAGTTACCTGGTAGGAATAATGAAGCACTAACCTAGAATTTCCATATGGTCATACCCAAGTGAAGATATACCACAAACAACTGGCTTCTCAACCTGAAAGGCAATCAAATTCACAACATCTCATAACTCCAGTGTAACTAAACTTTAGAGACCAAATGCATCCCTACTACATGAAATATAGTATTATTTTCAACTCCCTACCACATTAGTTGCATCATACTTTCCACCTAAGCCAACTTCCAATATAGCAACATCCACCTGCACAGTTTCATATGATCCAGATTGAGGAAATACAAGTTATGCAATGGTTGATGGCCAAAATTCCACCATTTAAATATGGTGGCATCATGGACATTATTTAATAATAATACAGTCAAAGGACTGATATACTTATACTAGACAACATGCTGTGTGTTACCTGCTCTACGGAAAAAATCTTGAAGGCAAGCAATGCGAGGAAGCGAAAATATGTAGGCATCGGCAGCTCATCTGAGGACTTATCCTGTAAACAGATTATAGTGGAATTACTTGCACGAACCTTAAGCACAAATACAATCAAACAGAAACGGTTAGAAAAAGAGACCACAACCATGCTTAATGCTAGTATATTCACAACTGCAGACTTACAGAGCAACTGGGATACATGAATAGCTAAGACATTATCTTACATGCCTTAAGTCTATCATAGCACCACCAGAAATATGCCAAAAACTTTTCTTCACAAATGTCTTGCCTGAAAGAACAGAGTGACAGGAGAAGAGTGAAGAGAACATTCAAAGCTTTGTGACTACAGAAATATGTATAAAAGTTATAAGGGAAATGAAGGAAACAATTAAAGGTCTCTAGGATTTACTATCACCGCCTATTCGAAAGAGAAATTTAATAAAATTTCAGTTGTAATAATCCATTACCAGTTTACTACAAATGACTAAGCATGTAGCAATGAAAACCCTCTCGAAGGATATCATAGGTGACCAAAATAGATTTCATGGATAAAAGGATAAACATTAGTGCCCAAAGAAAAATCATTCAAATGTCCGATTTATATTGATCCCATAAAATGGTGCTATTTACTCAATGGCAAAACATGTAAACTTACCCGTCTAATTGAAATCTTTCTCGAACATCAATGAGATGCGGAGATGTGAAAAGCCCGGTGTGGTAACCACAACTACGCAATATAGACTCTGTGAAAGTGCAAGTTGAACCCTTCATCATACAAAAAATATATAATAAATTAATCAATAAACCACCAATGAAAACAAACAAACAAAAAAGGTTGGAAATTTAGTCATCAATAATGATGAATGTTAAATCTTCTGTCATCTTTTATTCTTTAGCTACTTGGTACCTACTCATTATGTGTTCCCATGGTTCTAATATACTTAAGTTTACAAGGAAATCATAGATAGATTGTACTAAACAAGACTAAGAATATGTATCTACAATGATAACCATAACTGGATTGAAATATACTTTCTGAGCCAAAGCAAGTTGAAGTACTGGAAAATAAACCAAAACTCAATGCTAGCAGTAATACAGTTTCCAAAAGTGAGTTCCTTTTTTTGTCGTACCAAAAGTGAGTTTTTTTAAAAAGTGAAATATTAATGGGAACAATAAAGAGGAAAGGTCTCACCTTTCCCTTGGTACCAGCAACATGGATAACCTTCATCTGCTTTAATGGTTCCTCCAGTTCAAGTACCTGTAGTGTGTATTTACACACACGCCAAGATTTGTATTTTCTTATGTTACCACAATGTTACCAAGACTTTCTTATGTGCGCGCATATGAATAAAATTATATTTTCTCCCAGAATTTGCATTGTACCTTGATGTAATCAAATAGTATATCAAATCTGTCGCCGCTGTTGCTCTTATCGGCACGACTACGTTTTGTTATCAGAGAAAATAGAGCCTTCATTGCTTCATCGTAAGGTGACATAACCGGCTTTGGTGATTTACCTTCACCTGCAACAGCTTCAGCGATCATTCACACGCAATGCATACAATCACAAGCATACGAACATGAATCATCGGAATCATGTGATAATTAACAGACCCGAAGTTGAGGCGTCAAGTTTTAGACTGGAAAAGGATCAAACAGATAAACTACAACTCTCGTATTACATACCCCTAGACATCTTAGCCTGGCCTTAGACATCTAATAATCAGTTTTTTCTATGATTCTTACCATTTAAATATTGTTATATAATTAATTATAAAATAATCTCAAAATTCGTTTATGTCTCTCAATCACCATCTTCAAATAATCTATTTTTTCTCTGTCCTGCATTAATCTCTATCACATATATTTTTCAAATAATCTTAAAATAATCCGGATTCATATTTTGATCCCAGATTATTGTAGCAAATAATCTCATTAAATAATCTATGTCACTTAATGATAATTCCCTAAAAAAACTTCCATGTCACCAAATTAATCTCATAATAATCCTCCCAATGAGGATGCCCTTAGGAAGGTGGCTGAGGTCTATATAGTTTTTATTTATTTTCTACGATTTTTAATTTTTTTACTTTTCTTATATTTTATAAAAAAAATACTACTCATAGAAAAGACAAAAAAAGGTATAATAGGATTTTTGGGAATTTAAACTTTAATCTCTAAACTCATAGGGTGCGTTTGGTTTAAGGAATGTCAGATTACCATGAGAATCTCAGATTGCTGGGTATGTTAGATTGACGGGAATGTATTCACTTTATTCCCATTTGTGTTTGGTTAAGGTTAAGGGAATGTGACATTAATTTATTTGGTTAAAAGATATCTTATATTACAGATATGGTGGATTACCTCAATGCCCTTTAAGAGGCCGTTTGGCAGCACTGTTTTCGGCTTATCAAGCTTATCAGTCAACTTTTTCACCAAACACGTAACTTTTGCTTTCGCGTGCTGAATTGTGTAATAAGCAGAAAAAGTAAGGTTGTAGTTACTTTTCTGGCTGTATTGGCTGATGTTACTATAGATGATGATTTTAACTATTTTTACATATAATTTTTTCTTTATTTTATTAATAAAATATATTTTAAAAATAATTTTTTCTTAAATCAGCAGAATCAGCCAATACAACCACTTCAACCAGAACTTCACAAATTTCAGCAGAATCAACCAAATCAGCCGATTTTGGTACTACCAAACGGGCTCTAAATGTTTTCTCTTAACACAATAAATCTATTACAACCTACGTCTGAAGTAATTAAAAATTAAACAAAAAATGAAATATCTTAATAATAAATAAAATGAAATCTAATTGAATTATTTTTAAGTAGGTTTAATCGTAAGAGGTTGTAGATACAATACAAAAATGAAAAAAATTCTGTTCAAATAGCAATCTAAATATATTTATCATCACTTCAATAAAAATAAATTTAAAAAATGTTCAAGTTATTCGTGAAACTTGTTTTCAAATTAAAGAAAAAATGATCAATTTTGCCATTAAATTTTGAAATCCACTCATTAAAAACTTAAATAATCCATAGGCATAAATACCTTAAAAAATTTAAATGTTAAGGAAAAAAGAATTATGAAAATAACAAGAATAGACATTCGAATATAATTAAATAAACATACTCCATTCGTCCCACTTAAAAGGTTGTCATACAATCTAAATATTCGACTGACTATAAAATTAAGAAATAATGACAAATATATAACTGAAACGAAGGTAATGAACACAAATATGACTTAGTGAATTTCAAAAAATCATTTGAAGGCCTTCCCCATCAAATTTTGAGCTGAAATTTGGTATGGATAAACTAGACTTGATGAAGAACATACCATAAAAATGTTATCAAAACATACCAAATTGGCGCAGTTAACTTCAACGAATTATTTGACTGCCTTCCAGATCGAAGTTTGAGCTGAAATTTGGTATGGATAAGCTAGACTTGATGAGGAACATGCTAAAAAAAATTCATCAAAAAATTCCGCCGGGAACCGCCCCAAACGGCGGTTTCCAAAAAAATGTCAGCTCAAAATTCAATCGGAAAGGTCGTCAAATAATTTTTGTAAGTTAACTGCGCAAAATTACACATAGGAAAACACAGTCAACTTCCAAATATTATTTGACGGCCTTCGCGATCGAGTTTTGAGCTGAAATTTTTTGTGGATAAATTAGACTTGATGAAGAACATACCATAAAAATTGCATAAAAAATTCCACCAGGAACCGCCCCGAACTGCGGTGTTCGGACGGTGCCTCAGGTCCGAAGGTTCGGACCTGAGAATTTTCCTATATATATATGTGTGTGTGTGGGTGGGTGTGGGTATGTGTGTGTGGGTGGGTGTGGGTGTGTGTGTGTATATATATGTAGGGGAGGGTTCAAATACAAAGAGGTCTTCCCATGCAAAGTGTGATTTAATCTCGTGCGTTCATTTTGAGATCTAATGGCTCAAAATGAGCCAAAAGTGAACTAAATTTGATCAAAAACGCGGTGGCAATTTCGTAATTAAAACAAAGTTTTTTTCCATCGCCAAAAAGTGCAATAGAAACACGCAAAAGTGCAACGCGGTGAAGAAAAAGTGCAATTGTTCGCACTTTGCACGGGAGAACCTCTTTTTATTTGATCTCTTCCCTATATATGTATGTATATAAATATGTATATAGAATAAGGATCAAATGAGAAGAATGCTTATCGTAAGAAGTGAGAATGCATCTGGTCCGTTCAATTTAAGATCTGTGCATCAGATTAGCAATTAAGTGCACGGGAAAGTGCAAAAAATATTTAAAAAGTGATGCTAGATGCGGTGGCATTTCCGTAATTAATCAGAACTTTTCTGCCATCGCAAAAAGTGCACCGGATTAGCAAAAAAGTGCATCAGAAACAGGTAAATATGTAACTTCTCACTTCTCACGTTAAGATGTCTTCTCATTAGAACCTGACCCTATGTGTATATATATACATAAATACATACATACATACATATATATACATATATATATATATATACATATATATATATATATATATTCATACATATATATGTATATATATATATATATAGAATAAGGATCAAATGAGAAGAGTGTTTATCGTAAGAAGTGAGAATGCATCTGGTGCGTTCATTTTAAGATCTGTGCATCAGATTAGCAAAAAAGTGCACGAGAAAGTGCAAAAAATATTAAAAAAAGTGATGCTAGACGCGGTGGCATATCCGTAATTAATCGGAACTTTTCTGCCATGGCAAAAAGTGCATCAGATTAGCGAAAAAGTGTATTAGAAAGAAGCAAATGTGAAGCTTCTCACTTCTCACGCTGTCCAGTCGAGGGCTTTTGGGGCTCTTCCCGCTCGAATTTTTCGATGAATTTTTTGAACATGTTCTACATTAAGTCTAGTTTATCCATACCAAATTTCAGCTAAAAATTCAACCCGGAAGGCAGTGAAATAAATTGTTTAAGAACACTGTGCAATTAATATTTACTCTACGTCCCGTAGAAAGGGGTCAAAGGCTCTCACACGATTTACGATATTTTACTAACCATAAAGTTAATTGATCCGTGTCCGTAATTAGATTCTATTTTTTAGTAAATAAAATTTACATATTCAGATACTACATCAAAAGTTTTATAAAGTAGCAAAAGAAAACTCAAATTTGATAAAACCTGAATATATAAAGTAATAGATTAAGAAAACTTTAGGTTGACCGGAGAATAGTGGACGAGAACTTTTGAATGGGATAAAAGTAGTATTTTATATAGCAAAACTGAATTAAAGATTCTATTGATTTATAAAAATTCTTTTATCACTACAACTAAAACATTTCATTCATATAGGTTGGTTTGATTCATCATTGTTATTCACTACATGTATATATCACTGTTCACCTGAAGAAAGGGAAGGACAAAAACAGTATTTTTTTAATGTATTACTCTGTATTTATTTGTACTCCAATTTTTATAGAAAACACATCAAAATTTATAATTTTTTATGATCTTTCATATGATTCAAATATTGCATATACTCTGTATGAAATAAAAACATTATTTTATAGATAGATTTGGGTTAAAAATCAATGAGGTGTTAGTCTCTTATTGAAATATTGGTTAATAAAAAAAATTATCATTACTACTGAAACATTTAATTAATCCAAGTTCACTCGGTACATCTGTGGTATCACCTGATGCATGAGTGCTATTCATATTAATCACGCCAACTCATTTGGAGAAAGTGAAGGAGAAATCTCTCTTTAAAAGTGTTATACCTTTTTTATTTGTACTCCAATATTTACGAAAGTTATATCAAAATTCATAAATTCTTATGATCTTTCATATGTTATCAATGTTGCATATATAAAAATCAAAATATTATTATTTTGTACAATAAAATTGAGTTATAAATCAGTAATGTGACTGCTTCTTATTAGTTAATAAATTCTATTATGACTACTAATATAACATTTAATTAATTCAAGTTCACTTGGTGCTTCACTATTATTTACTCGGTGCATCACTGTTATTCACTTTAATCATGCCAACTTATTTAGAGAACGTGCAGGAGATTTTTTTTCCTTTTTCTTTTTACTCCAATTTTTATAAGATATGTATCAAAATTCATAAGTTTTATCATCTCTCATATTCAACCAATATTGCATATATAAAAATTAAAAAAAAATATTACTTTTATATGATAAAACTAAATTATGAATCAATGATGTGTGAGTCTCTTATTGGTTAATAAAAATTCCATTATCACCATTACTAAATCATTTATTTAGTCTAAGTTCACTTGGTGCATTACTGTTTTTCACTTCGTGCATCACTGTTATTCACTCGGTGCATCACTGCTATTCATTTTAATTCAATCAACTCATTCGGTGCATCACTCCAAATTTAACAAAAATATATCAAAAATTATAAAAGTTTATGATCTTTCATATGACACCAAATTGCACATATATAAAACTATTGTATAAATTGAGCTATAAATCAATGATATATAATATCGATAGTAAAATTTGAGTTTAAATGTGCATTATGGGAAATGTCACAATAGCCGTGACACATATAAGGAATCCAATTTTCATTAAATATTTAAACTTATTATTATATTTAGTAAAACAGGATTACAAATTGCTAACATATATGTCACTTTATTATTGGTTAACAAAAAGAAATAA